TTCTTGGGGCTGCTAGCTTGCAAAACATCTGTACAGGAAACCATCCTCACTGCCATCCACTCAGTTCTGCTTTATAACCACCCCTCGCACTGAGTAGAACTGCCCTTGTGGGTTTCTGAGACTGTAAATCTTCTCGGAAGTAGAAAGTTCATCTTTCCCCCTCAGAGCGCCTGGTGGTCACGCTGCTAACCTCATGGTTAGTAGCCCAATAGGTAAGCCGCGATGCCAATAGGGTTCTGGCACTTCTAAGAGTGCTCTTTATTTGGGTTGCGGATTATTTAAATATGCCGGTCGGTTTTTGCGAGCTGGTTTGTTGATGACTGTCATCTCTTTCCATGTGTTGGTTCCTCCTCTCCTTGTGGAACGAAGACTGCTGTGTCCACTGCATCCTGGCGTGCTTGTTCTGTGAATTCCTGACCCTGTGCAACATCGTGCTGGGCCAGGCGGCGTGTGGCGTCTGCTCTTCGGAGGCCTGCTGCTGCTGCTGCAGAGACGAGATGGGGGAGGACTGTAACTGCCCTTGTGACGTGGACTGTGGCATCATGGATGCCTGTTGTGAATCCTCAGACTGTCTGGAAATCTGCATGGAATGCTGTGGAATTTGTTTTCCTTCATAAATATTTGCCATTGGTTTTGTGTTAAGACTGGAGCGTGTTTTCAACTTTCTCTTTTAAGGGAAAAAACAATAGGACATGGTAAGATTCTCATGAAGCAACCCAGCATTTGCACTGTTGACTCACAATTTTAAGTAATCTCTGAACGCCTTATTCTCTCACTGAATCTGCATGATTTAATATGTGAAATGTAAACTACTTGTTGATTCTGACCAGACTACTCACTGTCATATGGTCCGTGTAGCAGCTCTGTAAGACAGCCAGACTGTCATTTTTGGATTCCAAGACTAAATATGCGTAAGAGAGCAGAAAGCCTCATCTTCCTCCTGAGTTGCAGCCGATAATTTTGAACTGCCAACCTTCTATCTGCAGGCCAACATCTCTTCCACTATTCTACCAAAGCCTATAGAGGGTGGCAGCTATGAGTCAGAAATGACATGGTGACAGTGAGAGATGAGAGTACATTGACTGCCCCACTTCCCCCAAAGTTAAATGTGTCTCCTCCTTTGTTATCAGTATTTCTGGTTCTTCTAACTACTCTCAAAAGCCCTTTGCTCAAAATGCATTATTTCTCAGTGAATATTTAAACCAAACAGTTGGTTTGGTGTTTATATATTAATGGTTACAAACACGCATTTTTTTTTAAGAGCAAAGTTTGGGACGAAGCACACACAGTGGGTGGGAACCCCGTGCTGGTCTCCCTCTGTCCTTCCTAGATTGCGCGTTTGCCCATAGACAGAGGGCCTCAGTCCCCACTCACTGCTGCCGGGTCCATGTCCTCTCACGGTCGTGTGGACATCACACCGGCGATGCTGAGGGGTTGTTCAGGACAGAGGTTTAGGTGAACAGTCTGAGCCCTACACCAGTTAAAAGAAACATGTCTTAAAATTAACCTCTTTTTTTTTTTTATTTAGTTGCAAGACAATAAGGGTTTTTTTTAACTCTAAAGTTTAAAACTAGAAATTGTATTTTTGAACAAATATTTGAAGTGTTATGATAGTTATTGATGAAATCATGACATTAAAATACCTAACTCTTGAATGAAAATTTGCATTTAAATAAGTTTGGTTTTTGTTTAAAATTTTTATGATTTTGATGTTGCCTTTATTATTTTTTTTCTTTTGTTGCCAATCCCCCTTTTTCTTTTTGGTTGTTGCTCTGTCCTTGCTTGGTTTTTTTACGTTATTCTCTGTCCGCACTGTTAAAGTTAAATGCGAACCATTCCGTCCTGAGCAGTAGAAATCTGCCCTCTACTGCTTGGACCAGGAGCCAGTTTGACAATGTTAAGTTAATTAAGCCCATATGGCAAGTTGTAAACTGTTTGCATGTAAACAAATCAATCCATTTATGACAGAGGATATCGTTCTTGAAATGTATGGAGGGCTTGTGTGGTTCCCATAAAAGGGAACCAATTTTCATACCGTGGGTTCTCTTACTGAGTTAGAGCTCTTGGATAAATTTCCTTATGGAAGTCTTGATACTATGCTTTGAGGTTGATAGTTATTATGAATATACAATTGATAGGAAACATTTTCAAAAGGAAAGAAAGCCCGCTTTCCAGACGCTTTTAGCGTTTAACCTCTTATGAGAAGAGGTTTTAGACCTAGATCATGAGAACTCCACCTGTGGTTCCTAGTTTGAGAGGAATCCGAGTGTTCACTCACATTACTTAGAAGGCTTAAAAAAAAACTAGACAAAACAGTTGAATTCTCTTTTGACTGTCACATACACACAGAAAGGACCACAAAACAAGTGGCTTTAAGTTATTTAGTTTAAATTGAACGTGTAGTACAGAATTGTCTTTTTCTTCTTCTAAAGGTGTCCTACTTATGTTGCTTCAATTATAAAGAAAGCTTTGTACTATTTCATAGTAACTAGAATCTAAATATTTGTATATATCCAAATCTAACTTATGCTTATGTACTAGGATATAAGATTACCATCTGTTAGGCATAAAAAAGCCTTCTAATGACCTGGAATTGCTAGACTATTGCACTCTTTGTCCTAGAAAATGTCTCAAGGTAGTGGTTTGTCTGATACTTAAATTGTGAAAATATTAGCACTTTTGAAATTATGTTTCTCAGTAATAGAGAACATTTGTGGGCAGTGGAATTTTATTTTCATATTTATATTCACAGTACTTTTCTTCTAATGTGTACTCCGGGCAATCATTTCATAAAGCAAATTGCATAATTAAAAAAATAAAACTAGGCAAATGTGAAAATAGTTTCAATGTATTTTAGAACTTCTGTTTAAAAAAAATGTTTTGTTGACTTATAAGGCCATCCTGACTAAGTGCTGTAGTTTACAGTTGCAGATTTGATCTCTTATTAAGTGTGGAAACTTAAAAGCATTTTAAACTGGGCCTGTATGATTCTGAATACACTATTTTTAAGTTAAAAAAAGCCTTCTTTATTGTGCCTTAGCATACATGTGTATTTAATTGAAATATAAACTCCTTTGTACTTGGTAAGTTCAACTGCAAGATAACGCCAGAGACTTTTGAGGGCTTCCTATTCTCCTGTGCAAATCACATGACTCATGCCCACAAATAAACTTTGAAAGACGCAGATCAACTTAGAATATAAATTGTAGATGAAGTATGATCTCAGCACACAGTGCCCTTTCAAAAATTCACAGTGGATGAAAACACAATCTTGTACATATTTTAAGTAATTTATTTTCATCATTGACTTTAAACTTGCCTCTCAGTTCATTTTTTTTTACAAATACTGAGATTGGACAAGAAGTTAAAACTGTTCATTTATCTGCGATTGCATCATAGTCTTCATGCAGTGTACGCAAAAGTAAAGCACTAGAAATATTTCCATCCAGAGCCTTTGGGGCAGCAATTTTTTAAGTGGTAAAAAATGTTTATAGCTCGTATTTAACTGAACCATTACAGTATGATTTTGTTATACAAGTCTTTTTATTTCATGAAAGAACCATTTTTACAATCTTGCAGTGGAGTGTAGCAACTGTTTTCATTTTTCTCACCTGAAGAAGTCAGTTCAAGAAGTAACCAAGGCAACCTTATGTTGTAACTTTCCATTCTTCAGCCATACAAACTCGATCAGTGCCCTAGACTCCAATGTTACAAGCGTCAAATGTCACTGCCTAACATAAATAAGACTTGAGTCAAGTCTTATTTATGGCTTGTTTTCTTAAATTCTAGTTTAAAGCCGTAAGATTTACCCAACTGCCTAATGAATGTTTATTTATTAATAAGATTATTTTTCATATAATTCAAGACCTTTATGCCCCTGTGATTTGTAGGCCTATCGGATTGTTGCATCTAATCTGACAGGCAAGGTGAAATGTTATAAAAGATTGTGATACCCATGTGGTGGTTTTTTTCCTTCTCTCAACACTGATGTAGTAGAGCATAGTGTTTTTGCTTTAAACAGTGTTTAATATATAATTGGTGGGGTTTATTCTGCACTTACTGTTTATATCTCTGAGGCAGAGATAGTGTGTACCAGGTAAGTTCCTTGTTAAGCCGTCATCCCTGCGCTCCCCTCTAACCAGTACCTTTAATAGTAAGTGTCCTCTCGGTGGTTTCACGGTTAGAGGGCACTGTAGAGCCAACACAAATGTTCAGAAACTTTAAACCCAAGGACAAAGCTTGGCAGCCCCCTTGACAAGACTTCCACCAACAAAGTTACCAGCACTTGTTTGCCTATGGGAGATTACTTCTGGAGGTTGCAGTTCAGACGGAAGGAGATGGAGAGAGAGGATAACGTTTCAATGTAGAAGCACAGTTGAAAGGATCATTTCAGCAGAAAACACCATTGCACAATTCCCCGTGGCTGCTGACCACTATCTCTAAAGAACTGCGAATAAAAATACTACATATATGTTTGGATTTTAATGACATCAATAGGCAAGCCAGAGGTGACTAGAGTTGCAGCCAGTAGTTCAAAGCCATGGCCAATCTCTATGTGGAAAAAGAGATCTCTAGGCAAGGGGAAATCACCACCCCATTCATCTAGCTATCCCAAATGCATGATCAGGTCCTCTGGAGCCACGGCTACAGTTCCTAATCTGCTGTGGTCACGTGTTCTACCTTCAGGTGAGCTATGGCCAGTTCTAGATCCAATCTTTGTCTCAGTCATATGCACACGCCCTCGCCCTTAGTGCTGGCTAACAGTGAGTCCGTTTAGTTGTGAGGTGATAGTGGGAAAATAAAATCATTTTTGCTAGACACCCTTTAAAGCCTTACCAATTCTGGGTAGAGATATAGGTATTAAAGACAAAGTATACTTCTGCAATTAGAGGTTCATTTCCAGGCAGGCCTTTGTGTGAAGTTTGGTTGAGAATCTAATTACTAGGAAAATGGTATAAAGCAAATTCAAACAAATTCTAAGTTTAGCTTGAAAAATGGAAAAGGTTCTTAAGTTCTGTCTGATGCATAAAGGGGTAGAAGCAAAGGAATTATGTTCCAAAGCCAAGAAAGGGTGAACAAAAGCAGCCGATCCACTTGACATAGTTCATAGCCTTTCGCAAAGGAATAAAAGCCTGTGGAGCAGGGAGCCAAAAGCTCTCATTATAGGATGAAGCCCAGCCATATTAAAGCTTGTGCACTAGTAACTATGTCTAAAAACAGCCTGCTGTTTTATATTGAACCAATACATTTCTTAACTTGGTAGGTTGCAGTGTAAAGATGTACAGAGCCTGTCTGCTGGATGCGATGCCAATTACAGATGTGGCAGAGTGGTGTCAGACACCTCCAAACAGTCTCGCAAGCAATCTTGGAGTGAAACAAAAGAAGTTTGAAGATGTCATCTCAAAACCTAGAAAGCGCCGTTCACCGCATGTGTCTGACCGAGAGTCTTGAAATCTCCTTGATTATATCACCTTGATTATATAATTTAATGTGGGCATCATAGGATCCGGATATCAATGCACAATACTTTCAGGGACATGAATCGTGCCTGCAAGATAAGGAGAAGATCTTTTAGAAGTAACACCTTCAGATGACAAGGCGTCTGTGATCAGCTCTGCAGGAGCCGTGTGTCATGGGCCTTGAGGTGACGGAGGAGAGGAACCATCAGAAAGACGCTCTATTTTGTTTTATCTTCTGAGAGAAGAGTGGAGCCTATTTACACAATTACACCTTCGTAAACTTCTGCCAGCTTTTAACTGTCTCGCAGATTCTGGGAGGCGTCTATTCCAAGCAGCAATCCAAAAGCAATTTAGCTTCTGAGCCTGTTACTTTAAAAAATCTGATTATTCACAAATTAATTAATAAAATTAAATTCCAATCACTGAAGAAAATGAAGCAAGGGTGAGAATCAGAGCTACAGATTAGTTAGAGCAAAGATATGCAATGCATAACAGAATTAACGCACTTCTTTTATTCAAACTCGGTGCTTAAAAAAGAACAAATCCATCATCTTGAAATCTGACTTGTAGCTTGACATTAAAAATAATACGAGTAGAATTTTCAGTGGGGTAAGCACAAAACTAGTTCAAGTTGTGTCACTCTCAATTACTGTACTCAGGTGGTGTGCCCATTAAAATTCCCACTTGTGGGTTCTGCTCACTATGCAAATGGGGTCATTACCTGGAGAATTTAATTGGTTATGACACCGGGAGTAGAGCTTTTCCTTTCAAAATAAACCTACTTACACACATTTTCACTAAAAATTTGATTGTTAGATATACTTTGGATTGTTTTGCTCTATCAATGTTTACTAAAATTAGCCCTTCCTTAATTCATTCTTGCAAATAAATCAAAATGGATCCTAATGACTTTGATACAGTTTTCTTTGTATGTCTTGACGGCTACTTAGAATGAATCTTTTGTAAGTGGTATTTGCTCATGTAATTTTTTTTTTTAAGAAAACCTTTATAATTTTCAAATCATCCATCACACGTGAATCCCTTTCCAGTAGTGTTTTTGTTTGTTGTTTGTATATTTACTCTATAATAGTATCGTCTTCTCTTTTACAGTCATTCTAGTTATTTGATTTGAAAGGTTTTCCCTTCTTTTCATCTTGTTTTATCCCCGTACAAAATGTACAGCTAGGAAAGTTAATCTTCCCTATTGGATATAGAAAATTAAAGCCCAGCCCAGCCCAGCCCAGCCCAACCCACTGCTACGGAGTCTGTTGTGACTGAGCAGCCCTGGAGGAAAGCGTACAAGTGCTTCGGGCTGTGAAGGCAGTGCTCATTCCTGGAGCAGATTACCACGTCTCCTTCCCATGGAGCGAGTGGCTACTAGGTTTGAACCACCAACCACCAGCCTTTTTAAGTGAACTGCCAAGTACTTAATCACTGCACCCTCCAGGCTATTGGGCAGATGATATAAGCAGTAGTGTTGAGGAGCAGTGTCGCTCACACTTGCAAGAGCCTTCCAGTCTTTGTACCGGCGGGGTGGAACTATTAAGTGGTTTGTTAGAGAGTCAGTTCTGGAGATAAGTGAACAAACAAACCCCCATGTAGCTATGATCTGTTTTCGTTGATTGGCACCATTTCAGCTAGAGAAACCCAAGTGTCTAGCCGCCTAACAAGAACATTGAAAATGGCCTGACTTTACAACGTGCATTGAAGTTGCAGTGTGGTGCAGTGAATATACTATTAGACTGGGCATTTAGGAATTTAGTTCCTAGAAAGGAATTTTACCAGCAGCTCCCAGAGTGAACTGGAAGTAGGAAAAGTAGCTGTAAGTCTTCAAGAGATCATCTCAGCAAACCACTAGCAGTTTTCTTAAACGAGATGGGCTACGCATCTAAATGTTGATTACCAAGTTGTACAACTAGCCGAGATCTTAGCATAGCTCTTCTGGAGCTACCGAGACTGGTTTACCTTGATTGTCAAATGCATATTCTGACAGAAAAAAAGAAATCCAAGGATGGTAGAAGAAATTCATAACGGGACCATTGGGCAGAATTTTTAACATCTGTAACTATGGGGCATTTCCCATAGAATATCAAATATGGATCCAAATCTCTGATATACATTTTCTTCCTGTGATATTTCTAATTGTGCCTGGAGGATATGAAAGAGTTGGTGCATCTAATAAATATAATCATTTACATGCATGGAGTTTCCTTTGAAGTTCATAGAACCTATGAAAAGAGGAGTTATGCACCAAGAAAATGAAGTTCAATGTGAATCTAGTGCGTTCTTTTTAGTATGCAGAGGTATGGCTGACGTATTTGGATTGCCTTGCTGCTTCTCTGGATGGGATGTGTCCCTTGGAGGGCAGCGCAGTGCAGTGCTGCACATGGAGAGGAAAGGCAGCCTAAAGGAGGGGAGAGGATGTGAAGAGAGGCCAGCAGACACCCAGGGACTAGCTTTATAAGATCACCTCCCAAAGTGACAGGACCTGGCATTTGTAGAGCTAGTTTAACTTTTTAAAAATGAAACCAGATTCGTTTTCTCATTTGATCTCCACTACCCTGTGATTCATCCAGGATATACATTTTCCCCTCCATTTTACAGATGAAAACAGTGGGGGCGAATTTGCTTAAATTCACATCCTAAAGTGACGTAATTTGTTAGGGGCTCAACCTGTGAAACTTGATTTCTATGATGGATCGGATCTGGAGATTTGTATTGCTTTCCTCATGAAGTCCTGCATAAACAGGGGGCTTCAAAGGGTTCACCAAAAACAAAAACAAAAAGAATGAAAAGAAATGGTATGTTTTCCAGGAACCTTTTGAAGCCGCTGGCTATAAGTTACTGTAATAAAATCGATTCAGTCAGAACTGCCCTAGCTGAGCTGGGGAGGGCATTTGCTGAAGGCTGGCCTACTCTGTCTTTGTGGACTCTCATTAGGTTTACCTCTAGAACTGGACTCTAAAGTAACAGAAAATCACGTTTCTGTACTCGCTGAGTGCATCTATGGACCCAACACTCATTCCACAATACAGCTCCTCTCATCCTGGCTCTGCTGATCAATGATATTCTTTTCGCCTAGGTGGACAAGGGGTTACAAGCTAGTTATTTTCATAAAGTAGTGTGCAGGTTACTGTCCAGTTGTCCCTCCAGATCTTTTCTCTGTCTATCCTGCTTGATGGTAAGCTCCCTGACCTGGTATGTAGCCGACTTAGGCTGGTAGTAAGTACTGGTAGGAAACCAGTAGGTAGGAGAGAGGTAGTAGGGTGTTACCTCTCACCTGCTCTCCTAGCGCCTTCATCCCAGACAATGGTGTTGACAGGGACTCTGCACCTCCACATAAAGAGCTCCCGTGCAATGATCCCTCCCCTACTGATCCCTCTCTTTGGCCCTCCACACTTGGTATAATAATGGCGGTCACTGGTGTAAGTCCGAGCGCTTTGGCTCCCTCTTGTTGGCTCTCACACAACAGACTGGTAATCTGTTGTGCACAAACC